AAATGAGACGGCCGCGCTAGGATATTCAAGGATCAAGTATAGGGGAACACCACTCCATGCTAATTCATGTAGCTTTTCTGCGAAACACCCCGTCACAGATCAAATTCAGTGTTATAACATTACAATAAATAATTTAAAAGCAAACAAAAAAAAAACAAAAAAAAACAATTCGAAAGAGTAAAATGTAGAACACCTAAAACGACACTTGTCCCTGATAACTCCTTACTGAACTTCATCAGCCTTGCGGAATCCGTAGCTCTTGCACCGATTGTTGTTTTACGCGTCTCTTCCGATACACTCTCGATACTCGAAGACTTGGTGAGATTTACAGATTTGCCATCGGCTCTTCTGTCTTGGAGTACTTCATCCTACACACACAATAAGAATGAATGTATCGTATACCTGTTCGGACGGAATAAAGACGTAAATTTACAATAATACCTGAATCGATTTATCCACTCGTTCCTCGATTTCAGCATAACTGTCTGAATAAGTCCTGTCGGTGCTCGGAGAAGACAAAATCGATTGATCCAACGGGGCTGAACGACGGGTTATCAATACTTTACCGGGGAAACTACGACCTTTGAGCAACCTGTTCGTCTTACAAAAAAATATCAGCTACTTTTATTTATTAATTTTTTTTTTTTTTTGAGAGATTAATTTATAAAGTAATAAAGACATTGAATAACACCAACATTGAAGCACCAATTTTACTTGCAGCACTACAAACTGTCCTAAAGGTTTATAATCCTAGGATTTCATAATTCACCTGAGGTATGATCAAATTACGAAAAAAACCCTCCTGTTTGAGTAATTACAACCACCTCCATCAACTATGAATCGTATTACACGTCCACCCTTGCGGTGTCAAATTTAGTGGAATCTTCTAGATTACGTGGAATATTCTCCAATTTGTACTCATTTTACCCCATTCGAGCTCTATACAGGTAAACCTCTATAAATTAATACAGTCGGGATTAACAAAATTCTATTAATTTAGCGAAATACTAAATTATCAAACTAATAATTTAGTAGGTTTTTACCAAGTTGGGACCAGAAGAAACTATTATTTAAGCTAGGTTATTAATTTATTGAGTATTAATTTATCGTATATTGAAACAAGATGATCATAAGATGTGCATATTGGCTTGTAAATATCAGATTGTGGTGCATCAGAAACTTATTTTTGTACAAAAACGAGTACAAACTAGGGAACATTCCACATAATCTAGAAGATTATGTTGAATTTGCCACCACAAGGGTTAACATGTAAGAAGACTCATAGTTGAGGGGTGATTGTAATTAGTCAAACATGAGGGGTTTTCGTAATTTGACCATACTTCAGGGGTAACCTAAATTTACCCAAAAAAAATAAAAAATTCCTCGCCATAAAGAACATGTGCATAATCTTAGATTCAAGAACCCATTTGAAAATTCAAGCCAAATTACCAAATGGGAACGCAAAATCGGACAAAAGTAGAAGGAAATCTAAAAGTAAACTAGAGAAAATTGTGGGTGTTGCAAGAAAAAAATAGATGATGTTCTAAGAGTGAAGTGTCGGATCTAAGAGAGAGAAAATAAAACATTCATAGTTAAATTACAATCATACCCTTGAACATTTCTCAGAGTTTGGCTAAATCTTGAATCGAGAGTTGAAGACGACGAAGTTTCTTTGTCTCGATCGTCTTCTCTACCGCGGGTGTTCCTCATTATTTGTTTTTCAGTTTTTTTTTTTCCTAGTCGTTGTTAAGGATAATAAAATATGAAAAACCCTCAAAAAAGAAAAAGTTAAAACTTAAAAGAGAGTAAAAGGAAATGTGATCAATTTAGTGTAAATTACCTAAGGGTTGTTATTTAAATCTTTTCTTACTTTAATACTAATATTAGAGAACATAAAAATATCTCTTACTCACAAAATACAACTTATAATAAAAAAAAAAAGCTTTTTTTCTTCTTAATTTAAGACCAAATTAAAGACCATGTTGCCCGGATCGCTCCAACGCCGCCATCACCGCCATCGTCGGATGCCATTGCCGCCGCTCAAGTAAGCTCATTTTGTTTCCCGTAGAATTTGGTTGGTTTGAGCATTGAATGTTTGTGGTACTTCTGATATGGTCGTTCTGAGCATTCATTAACATTTTTTGAATTGTTGTTCGATATTGTTGAATAACCACCTTAACCAAAAGTTTAAGTTGTTAGTAACATGTATCATTTAATATTAATATCTACAATATGCTCCTTTAAGTCCAGACGAATTACATTTGAAGCCTTGCACTTGAAATATTTGAAATGGGTGGCGGTGGGATTCGAATTGAGGACCTTTCATTTGGTCTGACTCTGGCACCATGTTGAATGACCACCTCAACCAAAAGTTTAAATTGTTAGTGAAATGTATCATTTAAAGCCCCGGGAAAACGTACACGGTAGTTGCTCGACGAAGATCCTTCTTCTTCATTGGCCGCCATACCGACTCCCGTGCCGTTTCTACCCGCTCCACCGGTCCCATCAACCGCTTAACCGGACCCACTTGTAGTTGAAGGTCCACAAATACCGGAGTTGATTCTGAATTTCAACCAGCACATTTCTTATCAAATTTTGAAACGAGGTTCAGACCGCGGCGAAGAATTCAGAATATGGAATCACACAATAAAATTGGAGAGATGGGTTTAGGCGCCGTTTATTATGGTAGTTGTACGCGTCTCGTACAAGGTTGTGTGAACAGTCACCTACTTGAAGCGTTCATAGAGAGGTGGCAGCTCACCACCTACACATTTTATTTGTATGTTGGAGAAATTATCATCACACTAGATGATGGGAGCATGTTGGTAGATCTGCTAGTTTTCAGACGTACAATCTCTTGTGCTCATTTGATAAAGAAATCTGAGTCGGATGGGCATTTGTTGCACCGAATGTTAGGTACGATTCTCGTGGATAATGACCCTAATGAGGCAGTGCAAAGGCTGTGAAGTTGGAGTGGTTGTGCGACACATTTGGTAAGGTGACCAACAAATGATCGCTTCATTGCCCCCCATTCCTCATTGAACTCATCAATAGTATCTCGTTTACTAAGAGCCAACCAAGCCGGCTGAAACGACTTTCACTTGCTATTGTCGTCTGTGAACATATTTGTTCAATTAGCCAATATATTCTTGCATGTCATCGACACAACAAGTGATGACTGGATGGATACACATTGGCTATTGTTTTCATCAAAGCAAAATCTCGATATGTTACAATGCAATTAGAATAAAAACACTTTCCCATGACCTCCACCAAACTAATAACGCCCACTCGATATTTTATGTCTCTCCGTACGTGATCCAAGTATACAAAGACTATGAAGAACGTCATGTGAGTACAAATAGCACCCACAATCTCCAAAATGTACGAATTACAAAAAATAGCCCCGATGGAAATTGATTTTACAGTCCTCTTCGTGAATATTGATTTTGCTATCCAAACAAGAACAATGTCAAGTCTCATAACGCATAAGGAAGAATGAGTTTTTTTTTCAATCACGTCTCAATAACTCCTTTCTAGGATGAGTTTTTTCCCCACCACATCTCATAACTCCCTTCCAAATCTTACGATGTGATATATGAGATTTTATTCTCACAATTTACGTAATTAAAGATTTTCATAAATAAATAATTTATTGTTCGAGGGTGTTTATGTCTATAGGAAGAATAGAATAGGAGAAAGAGAGAAATAATAATACGTAATATAAAAGAAACCCCCATTGTGTTATGGGTTGATTACATGGAATATATATATAGAAATATTGCAAGGTAATAGAGTTTGACTAGGTAACTAAATCCTAACTAATCTAGGTAACCGAATCATAATAGAATCATAATATTACAAGAGTTATTATAATATAATATACTCTAATAATGTCCATATACATATAATTTTATTTCATTTTAATGATTTTTTTGGTCAAATGGCCTATAGCTATATCAATCAATAAGGGGGTACAACAAATTATCCCGATTAATAAACACGACTTATGAGGGACCCGTTAATGTTAAGTGTTGGGAAATTCACTGTTTCATCCCTCAAGTTTGCAATGATTTCACATTTGGTCCCTCGTGTTTCAATAATTTGACATTTTTTGTCATTTCCGTCAATTTACCTTTAGTCCGTCAGTTACAGTAGTGAAGGGCACATATTTGATTCCGTTAGTTTTAACATAAAATTGACGGAAAAAGAGTGTTGCGTTTTTTAAACATGAGGGACCAAATATGTTTTTTTGTGAACATGAAGGACCAAATGTGCAATCGATTCAAACTTAACGGATGAAAACCGTATTTTTTGTATTTTTCCCTCAAGTGTTAACATCATTACTGGTGTCACAATATTAATTGGGCCAGCAATATAATGAAGCATGGAAGAAATATAATACATAGGTGTCACAATATACTTTTTTTTTTTTTTTGTCAAACCTAATTATAATTGCATAATTGCATAATTAATTAATATCCGAACCCAACTACCAACGATTACCCAGGCCAATCAATTAATACACTAAATCTTCTCTATATATAAACATCGTACCTCGTAGGTTTTTTCTCCACACAAACACAAGACACACACACACACACACAAAAATTACCAATATATTCATAATCACTTACATTTTTATTGCAAAATGGCTGCAATGATCAAGAAAACGTGCATGCTCTTCGTGGCCGCCGTGTTGGTGACGATGGTGGCGGTTGTGCCACGTGGCGAGGCGGCGATAGGATGCGGCACGGTGGTTTCGTACATGAAACCGTGTCTGCCCTATGTGACCGGGAGCGGCCCGTTGGGCGGCTGTTGCGGCGGCATTAAGGGGCTCAACTCTGCCGCCAAGACGACACCCGACCGGCAAAGTGTCTGTGCCTGCCTGAAATCTCTCGCCGGCGGTGTCAACCTCGGCAAGGCCGCCGCGCTTCCCGGACAGTGTGGTGTTAATATTCCCTACAAGATCAGCCCTTCCACTGATTGCTCTAAGTATGTATATATATAGTAATTAATATCATAATTTTATAATTAATTAGTACTAATTATTGTTTGAATTAATATTATTGATTATATTATAGACTATAGTGCTAATTGTGTGAGTTTTATGTTGTGTTTTTTCAGGGTGAAATGAGTTGACTCGAAGGAAAGTCAAGTGATGCAGCATGCTATATATAATATATGTTTAACTAAATAAAAAGTTTTATTAATTAGTTCATGTTAGAATTTATTTCGTGCAGATATAAATTATTTGTGTCAGATTCAGTTTTTCGTTACTGTTGCGTGAAGTGTTGCAACAGTTCGTGAAACAGTTCGTAAAAACAGAAATAAACGAGACACAAATTTAATGTGGTTCAGATACAACTGTACCCTACATCCACAGGGACCTGCAAATAAAATTTACTAATTTTTAGTTTTACGAATACAATAATAGGACTTAATCAAAATACAAAGACTCCCTCTTTGTTGACGCCGTTCTTGTATACTACGCTGAATTATAAATCTTCAATTTGCAGCACGTCCCTTGCTCCGCACGGTTGAACTCCCTTCAACGCTGAATCCCTCAGTCGGCGGATCGATCTCCTCCCGAGATCTGTTTAAGCCCCTCTCCCGAAGAACCGATCTTCTTTTTGTATAGAAGAAACAAACTTGTGATACTCCTTGAATCTTGGTGTCTTCACCACAAAGCCTTGAAGCCGATATATTTCTATGAAAATCACGTATCACGATGGAACTATAAAAACGAGAGCCAATGATATTTTCTCTGTGGATTTCTCTCGATAAAAAGACGTCAATAAAATAACGAGAGTAACGAAATATATCATGTGTATATGTTTCTCTCCAAGAAGACGTATGGCAACAAAGAAAACAGAGGTATGTTTTCTCCAAAAAGAACGTCAAACACTAACGTGTATTTTCTCCACTTTTATAAGCCTCATGAAAGAATCCTACAAGAGTCCAACATAAAAAACGTATCAGGCATATTAGGATATAAATCTTATTAAAAGATATTAACTCCTATTCAAACACTAATTCCCACAATTAATAAAATACTAATTAAAATACTAAGGAAATAAAATCCATTATGTTAGGGATTCTTATTCACGTAGGAGAATAAGTTGGAAAATAAGAAAACTCTTTGTATAAAGATAATTCCTAATATTAATCAATTAATGACAAATTAAAAAAGAATTAAAACACAAGGAAACTCCCCTTCTTATATCACGGCATATCTAGACTTGTGGTACAACTCTTTTACACGTTTCCTTGCAAAGTCAGAATCCAAAGGATTCTAACAATCTCCCCCTTTGTCGTTTATTGATTATAATCATTTTCTCCCCCTGAGTAAAATAACCTGAAAATAAAACAATCAGTAACGATTAGACGGAAGAAAATAAAACTAAAGATCATCATCAACTCTTTTCAACAAGAGTAGCATCAACTGCTGCAATAGTAAGTGCCACAGTTTCAGCAACTGCTCCCACAGTAGTGGCTTCGGCAGGTGGTTCACAACGGAGTCAGCTCCCCCTGCATGTGTATCTCCCTCCGTGAATGATCCTTAGGCAGCTCCTCTTGTAAATGCATTCATTCTTCCCCTTTGCTTACTCGGCTTGATAGACTTGGAGGGCGACGTGGTAAATAACCCACGTGATAAAAGACTCAGCAAATAACGTCGGCATTATAGCTTCTCCTTTTATATTCTTGTGAAGACCTAAACCAATTAAT